CATTCCTGCCCCCTAAAACTGTTTGTTTTTATGAAACTTTGAAGTCTAGCTCAAATACAACCAAAGCTAGCTAAGATATTTTTCCTTTTCCCTTTTGGTTGATAGGGAGAGAAAAAAAGAGAGAGAGAAAGAAACATGTTGGATAAGCTCTTTCTTTATCTGCAGCAATAAAATATTTAAAGCAAAGCCTGGCTGAACCTCCAGTCCAAATGTCACCTTGGCCCTAATATTTCACTTCTTGTTAGGAATTTAATTTGTATTTATAGGTGCTGCACAGTTCTACATTTACACAGTCCCTCTGGCTTTGTACTTGTAGAATGATCCCTTAGGGATCTGCCACTTTCCCTCCTCCATACCACCTTCTTCCTTCTTACAAGCACAGAGGAGTGGCTGGAAACAGGAGCTTGGAGGTTGCAAAGGTGTGGGCCTCTTAGAAGGAAATCTAGTGCCATTGACCTACCCAAGAAGAGATACCAACTGTATGTCAAAGTGTTGGGGAGGCTGGCAAATGTGAGTGTTACAGACCCAAGGAACATAGAATCATATAATCATAGAATGGACAAAGTATTTTCTTACAGATGCAAATACCAGCTTGAACCTTAACTTGAAAGATCATCATTGATCATGATGGAAGCCTGCAAGGTCTTGCACTTATCTCCCAAAATACAAGGAGGAATAGTGAGAAGACCAAACTTTGAGGGGACAAACCCAATTAGCTGGCTAAGGCTTGGAGGCTGTTCATTATGGGCATTACTGGATCACAAGGACTTTGAGGATGGGGGTAGTCACAGGAAGAAATAAGTGGGATTGCAGTCTTAGGTTGGAAGTTGTTTGTTTGATTTCCTAGCTGACTTTTGGCAGGTTCCTCAATATGTGTGTATGAGAAATGGGAAAGCACTGCCCTACTGTAAAGATTTTCACCCTTTGAAAATGAGAACCTGTGACAAGAACACATTAAAATCTGTGGGAGATCAGTGAAAGGCATAATAGAGGTGCAAAGCTACATTTTTAAAGAGTAGATGTTCCAGGAAACTGGAGGAAATGCTTGGAATATATAAAACCTGTTTCCACTTGTTCCTGCCTTCTTGAAAAAGGAAGGAACTAAAGTCTATTCTTTTTAACCTCGGCTCAAAACTCTAAAAACAGAATGTTGAGCATATTGGTCTAGAAGAAAACTGAATGGCTATGAAAGCTTGAGTGATACACCAGTTCCTGCACCCCTTTGGGAGAATGGATCATAATAACTTGGGCCCCCTAAAATGACCAAGTCCTGTCAGGTAGAAGATATCTCCTGGGGAAGGTGAGGGGATATGTGATAAAGGGAGAAAATCTTTATAAGACAACTATGGTTTTGCAGTCTGCAGTAAAGGACATAATATACCATGTCTGCCCCAAAGGCAACTGTCCTTCCTTGGTTGCACTCATCTGTTTATAGAGCTAGAAGAAATTGTCTCTGCTGCTCAGGAGATACACTCACAGCATTTCCTTCCTCTCTAGCTGAGGCTGGACTTGGGCATGCTCATTGTCTCTCTGACATGCTGACAATTAGTGATCACTGCCTCTTCATTGATACAGTCATTGAGCAGTACCTGTCTGACTGTGGTCCTTTCCCGTATTCCTTGCCTTAGCTGGGCACACGTGGGAACTGCCCACTCTCCCACCTATAGCTGAGTCTATGTCCTGCACAGGACCACACAGCTCACAGCTGAGCTGCTCTCCTCACCCCATCTGTGCATATCTCACCTGCCTCTGAAGCCATACTCTGCCCATCGTAACCAAGCCATTCAGCTTAGGAAATATACAGTGAAAATCATGGTTCACCTTTAAGATTAAATTGTGAAACTGGGCAAATGTTTTTTTAAAAGTATTTGGAACAACAGGTCTTTAAATGCAGATTTTTTCCCTCCCACACAAAGCTTTAGAGTTTGTTATTTTCCTGAGTCTTTACAACTTGTCAGCAAGGGTAGTATCTAACCAGATGTTTCCTTCTCAGAAAGCTGCCTTGTGCCCCAGATCACACAGGTTATTTCCTCCTAGCTCACAGCACATGCAAGCCAGTGGGAAGACTCTCCCCTGATTCCAGTCAGCTTTGCTCCAAGCTGGGAATCACTTACTCACAGGTAAAGAAGATGCAAGATGGCTGGTCTAACACACAGGACCGTAACATTGACCTAATCATCCCTGGATACTCTTGAAAAGGAGTGAGTCGAAAGCATCCCTGGGCTGTAGGACTAGACAGCATGGGGAGGCAGCAGCCTCTGGACTGGGCCTCTGTGTTTTATTCATAGTCTCATACCCTACCTTGGCTGTTCAGTAAAAGCAGTGGTGGTGAGTCATCACCTGCAGGAATTTAACTTTGCAGCTCTTAAAAACAAAAGGGATGACTTCAGCTCAATGAAGAACTCATCTTCCTTAGCTTGAAGAGTGTGTTTACTCAGCAAATGAAGATGTTAATTCAGTACAGTGGATGTGTCCATGCTGGCCAACATGGCCTGTGAAGATGCAGGGGCACAGACTCCTGGGCTGGTTGGGTACCCTGGCATGAAGTCAAGATAACTTGGGTAGCCATGAGCATATCTTCATGCTGCTGCTCTCTCTGCCAGATGAATTAATCCTAGTGAAGGGCATAACTGCCTGTGCTTCCAGCTGTAGTGTGGATGAAACCAACAGTTGGTATCGATCCAGAAATCTCAAGACACAGATTAGATATTTGAGGAAGTTGTGGCCATTCTGTGTTCAGTAAAGTGACAGCTCTCCTACATTCTAATGACCCATGAGAATTTCAGCAAGGGCTCAGATGTATGAGGGGTTCATGATCCAGAGCCAACCTGCCCCAAGGGTTATGTGCAACTGTAGGCCTAGAGCACACTATGTGCTAAAATTCAAAGTGATGGGGAGACATGAATCATTTCTCTGTCTCAGCAAATGGAGACCCTGAGGGACTATTGCTTTATTCCTCTGTAAGTTACACATAACTTAGTAGGGTGTGCATTCCTGTGGCCTTTACACAGGTCATGCTACGCTAAGGTAGGAGAGTTATCCTGTCTCAGCCACCCTTTCTCCCCATCCAGCTGGCCAGTCTTCTTTGTTACTGCAAATATTAGTTGAACATGGGCATGCAGGGCTGGGAACACTCCTTAGCTCCTCTGCATGCTGTCTGTGCCAGGGTGTAATTCCCCTGTAGCCCAGAAGCTAAATAGCTGTCTAAGGGCTGGTAAGAGCTGTAGGGATATAGGAGACTCTACGTGAGGGACGTGGATATCATAAAGTACCTTAAAGGGGCTTTTGGACCCAAACTAGCACATCTCTAAGTTGTAACATCATCAAAAAACCTTGGATGTGATGGTGACTATCTGTGCAATGGCGCCCATAGATAACATTTGAAACAGCTTTCCTTGTGATCAGACTTACGGAGATCTTATGTCCAATGTGCAGACATTTAAGAGATTAAACATGATGTAATGTACACACTGAGGATCAGCTGGTGAAATGAAAGAAGCAGAGAGGCTTCTAAGAGACCAGAAGACAACTATCAATCATGTTCAGCCCTGCTGAAGTCCATGAAGCCTTGCTGCTTTACAGAAACTGAGGATGTGGCTTTACCAGGGCAAACTAAAGGTGTACTGTGAAAACAGATGCTAGTAGTAAGTCCAGTTGGCAGCTCAGGGCAAGAGCCTTATCCCTGGACATTGCCTCTGTATTAATGTGATCATTTCCATATCTCCATGGGAAAAATCCTGCTCAGATACAATTGTCTCTTTGTGAGATGATCCTGGCCAAGATGCCACAAGGTGACCATGGCAGATAACCTTCCATAAACCTGGAGACATAAAACAAGCCAATGACCTACTATATGGCCATAAATATAAATTTAACGAAGGCAGCACTTATTCATTAGGCAGAAGTCAAGAAATGACTCCCAAGTCCTTCAAAGAAAGTAGATCCGTTAATGTCACTTTCCAAATCCTCTGCCTGATGCCAAAAACCAAGGATGATTTCCCAAGTCAGCATGAAATACCAGTGCTTTAAAATTAACACCAGGAAGCTTTCTTACTACTGATATATCTGTAGATTGAAATGCAACTTTTTAAAGGGGCATTCAGCTAATGTTAGGCCTGACATTTAGCTTTTGTCAGAGAATGAAAGGATGGAGATGGCAGAATGAAGCATGTTGTTAAAAATAAATAAGATCGGTTTAAGTGGTGTTCTATAAAGAATCCCTCCTGAGATGCCAGTCACCTGGCTACAGTGTCTGGCCAAGACAAGCTGTTATATAGGTGCCCCAGGTGAAAATGGTCATAAGGGACAGAGGGCTGGAGTCTGCT